GTGAGCCACCACGCCCGACCAAAGTAAGGGGTTTTAATAAAACTGAAATGAGGGTATTGGCCCTAATATTGGCCCTCAGATGGTTAAGAACAGAAAACTTTCTAGGGACATTTTCTACCTGTTAGATTTCTACCAATACTTCCAGATCCATCATAAATGTCACCTCCTTAGCTTTCTCTGCATATTGCATATGCACTCTGGCCCTGTGCTTAGAGCTACCTGTAGGTATCAGCCCCCTGAAGTCAAAACGTGACCCCTTCATTTTCTGAATATCCAGATGTTCAGAATAGCACATTCTACTTTGCATTAATTTTTGCCAATGTATGTTATAACGGACAGGCAGCATCTTATTTTTCTGAGACCCTAATAATTCCAGCACAGTAGTAAGGGCTCAGCAAATGCTTGTTGAATAAATGAACAAGCAAGTACAGATAATAACTATTCATATAAGTGAAAATATACTCAGAGGGCACACATTCCTTACATAGTAGTGTTGCTATGACCACACATCTCAATTGTGTTAAGATAAAGGAATTTATACAGAGCTATGAGTTATGTGCCCAAAAGCTTTTAAAGAAATAATCCTATAAACTGGGCTGAGATGTATAAAATATAGCAGACCAAAAACCCAGGTCACTAAATGAAACTATCAATTTAAGGAGACCTCACAAATACACCTGCTTTGCTTTATAACAAACATTGCCAAAAGCTTAGAAAATAAGTAACAGAGTACCTAAAGCAAGTCTGAAAATAATGGGAAAAATGTAGTAAGAACAGTTAACTTGAAATCATTACTATACCATATAGACAGCTTAAGGAAGAAGGGATTAATCAGGTACTGGGTAGTATTTCCAGATGTTTATTAAGTCACCAGGTGGGTTTCTATTTCAAAAGAGTTAAGTACCCCATCCTGAGCCATTGTTATAATAAATTTATGCCAGACTGATTTAATTTTACAATGAAATAAAATTAAGAGTAACAACAACTTTCTGGCATTTACTTGGAGTTTACTTCTTATGAGTAGAGTGCAAGGGCTAAGTTGTATTTATGTTTGTATCCTGCAAGAGTGTACTTCATCATAGGAGATTAATACATATTTTTAAAAATTAATACAGAGCACTTTGAACTTTCAGTGTTTTCAGCATTTATTATCCCATTTTTGTCTTCACAATCACTCTGTGGGATAAGCAAGGAAGGGATTACAGTCTCTGTTTTGCAAGAGCAGAAATTGAGGTACAGAGAGCTTACAACTTCTGTTCCAAGTGTTTTGGTGAATTTCTGGATCTCACTCTGATCCTAAACCCTCCTTTCATTAGTTCTGTCAAAGTTCACAAGTGGACCTCTGAGCTGTAGGCAGCTCAGAGGTACTAAATTGCAAAAACATCTGTCAATGAAACTTACTAATCATTTATTATGGCAAACACTGGAAGATACAAAATAAGACATGGGCCTTTACAGGAAAGCAGTTTATAATGGAGTTACGGTAACAGGGTATATTAACATAAATACTATCATTGATGTCAGATATGAGAGATAATGTTATATTTCTTTGTAAGGCAAAGAAAGGTATTTCTATTGCTTTATAGTTTATAAACACTTGTTAGTTTTCTCTTGTAATTTTTGAGACATTAGCCTTAATGTGGGAAAGATAGTACAACGTCAGAAGTAAGGACTTACCAAGTAATCTCTCAATGTCATCCACAACCACACAACTGAGCTGGGATTTGTACGCATCATCAAAGATCTGGAAGGAAGCAGAGTCACTTATTATCACTGCCTTTCATAATTATGAAAGGGAGAAACAAAGTGTTCTAAGCAGAGTGCACTGAATATTAGGAGGGACAGAGACAAAAAAATTCAGGAATAATGAAGATATGTTGGTGTTGATATGGAGGGAGTGGTAGGTGAGATGAAGCAGAAGAGGTGACGAAGGAATCTGGATATGGAGGGTCTCACGAATTTCATGAGTTGAAATTTTATTATAAAGGCAATGAAAAGGCACTAAAGGGTTTTAAGCAATAGACTGACATGTCAGGTTTATGTTTTAGAAAGATTTTTCTGGTTGATGTATCAAAAAGAATTAGAGGGGAGTAATAGTCACTTGAGATTGTGGAATTCCACATTAGAAATGATGGTGGCCTAAGAGTAGGGGTGCTGAGAAGGCTGAGAAGTGGACAGATTCTAAGGATATTTAGCAGGTAGAACTGAAAAGACTTGGTGAACGAATGGGTGTGGTGATGAGGGAGAAACTGGAGTTAAGCATCCTTCCTGGTTTAGAAACTGAAATAAAAAAGAGAGGAGAGGCTGGTTTGAAAACGGATCACGAGTGCATTTAAGGAGCAGGAAGAGAAGAGACTTTTATCTCGTCTCCACTGAAAAAAAAAAAAGGAAGAGAAAATGAGAAGAATAACATATTTATTTCAGCCTCTTGATACATAATGATGGTTCCTTTTGGCTTTGAGTTGGTGCATTCAAGACAATTGAAACGTTTGGAAGAAGTTCCACAGTGGTTTTCTGTTATTTTCTCAAAGACTGGACCCATACAGCAGCCAATGTGGTATCTCATAACTCAGGAGATTCAGGGAATCACTGAAAATAATGTTTTGCTTTTCAAAACAGTTTTCAGAATTCTGTTAAAAGCTCTGATGCAAACATATAATTCTGACCATCTGGCTGTGAGATCACAGATTAGAGCCACAGGGGCCTGGGACACCACTGCCTGGCTGGTTGCAGTAGTTCTCCATTTTTCCTAAATCAGACCTTCTCCCTTCTCAAAACATAGTACACCTTATGTGATTACAGGGACCTTACTCAGGACATTGCTGGGGTCTAAAGTGACGATAAATTGCTATGCAGTATGTAGTTTCACCAACTTATCTCAAATACTGTGATTCACCTATAATATTTTAGAAAAAAATACACCATTTAATGTAAAGTAGTGGGTTTTGTTTTTGTTTTGCTTTTTACAGACAGCTCTCTGTACTAATTACTATCAGAGGGAGAGGAGAACTCACAGCAAACCCTCTTAATGACATACTAACCATGACAAAGGCTGTACAATTCCAGTTGTAACTTGACTAGTTTCAATTGACCAGTCAACTGAAACTCCTTTGGGTAGCTACTCTGCTCTAATTTAAATACATATACGCACACCCTGTTCACTTATACAGACGTTCTCTTCCTTATCTAGTCTCTAGTGTAATCTGAGGTCAGCATTCTTACCCTGAATCCATGATTTCTGCCTAGTCTCCTCAGCCCCTTTCACTCTTGGCGTTCTGGCCTAGGCCCCAGTAGAACACTCGCTAAGAAGATATGATTGTCAAGTACGTGGGATTAGCTGCCAACTAAAATCTAAGCGAGATATTTACATACTGAGCCAGGAAGGTCTACCACAACTTTAGGAAGATAAACGCAAAACAGAGAAGTACTAGAAAGATGTAGGAAAAGTAAAATTGTACAAACGGCCCCAGTTAGAACAGTGCAAACTCACCATCAGTAACAGCACACAGATACACAGTGCCTGCTCCAGATCAAATGATGCCTCAACACAGAGGCAGCCAGGAGGGCTGAAGCTGGAGGAAAGGGCTATGTCTTACAGATTCTTTAAAAAAATTAGTCTAAAGAATAGAGGGTCATCCTAGTTTTATCAGAAGTTTCCTATAGAGCAGGTAAGATTATCAGACAATATACCAGGGTCTTAAAGTCAGATGGGAAGTCTGCAAGAGAAGGCTAAAGAAAAAAAATGGGCAGAGTTGAAGAAGGAAACCATATGGGAAGGAGTGGCATGAGCACCATGAGTCTTATGAAATAATGAGAGATCTCTCACAAAGGTTGAGGAACATCTCTAGCAAACAGAGTCCCATAGTCTATTTCTAGCTGTGCATATGAGATTGTAACCATTAAACTCTCTGGTACCACTTCTCTTGCATGCAAAGATATGACACAAGCTTGAGGGTTGTGACAGACAACCCAGAATGTGGAGAGTCTGGGCTCAAGGTGAGAATATGCTGGATGCACTCTTGAGCACCGAGGGAGAAGCAGGCTCCTGTCACACAGCGATTAGGGGCAGGCCTGAATATGGTGCTCGTCAAGCTCTTAAGCCAAGCTGGGAGCCACCTGTATGTAGGGAGGCGCAGCAGCTGCAGCCTCTGGAGTCTACATGAATACAAATGGGAACACGCCAGCATTAGCTCCATTAATCCCAGCCTTTCAGAATCACAAGCCACAGCAAAGCACGCTCTGAGGAGATTCTGTCCTCCATCCTCTGTGACCTCCTTAGTGCTCTTAGGTAAGGGAAGCCAAATTTTTTGGTTCTTTTGGGGCCTGAAAGAGTTCATCTCAATTCTGAAGTGGTTGGTGTGAAGTACATAGTTAGGAGAAATCTGATGACTGTAGGAATCTGATGGCATAGAAAATCTCTAAGGTAGTAAATCTGTCAGCGATTAGCTGAAAGCGTACTCTAATCATATTGGGTAGCATATAAAAACGTAAATGAGCAAATTCAAATTGGTGCTATCTGTAATAATCTCTAGTTTCTAAAAATAACTTGGGAGTAGACCAAGCAAACATTAGCTGTCTTCTAATGAAACTGCCTCGGGAAGTGGACCTAAACTTTTGGCAAAGCACTAAAGCTTCCTGGAATGACCTTAAAATTTTTTATTTGTTCTTTCTGCTTTTCAGGAAAAAAATCTTACATTTTCATATAACATGAGCCACAGAATGGGGTATTTTTAATAATACAAAAAGTCACAAGGTCTGAAAGTTCTGCACCACCTCCTTTGTATGCCACACAGATACAAGTGCCAAAAGACGGTGTATTAAACAAAACAACAACAAATGCCTACCCCCGCAACCAGCCACACAGGGGACCTGTAGTCACTTCTGGAGTGTGTTCTTCTCTCCGCTAATACACGCACAAACTTCAACAAATCAGCTACATGATATATTAGGATGTTAACCAAAAACATCCAAATTCTGTTGCTTAGTAACTGTGTCAAAAGATCTAATTTCCAGCTCTGCTCTTTGTATAGACTAAACCATGAAAAGAGGAGGATTAGGCACCATGATTCTGTTCTGTGCAGACTACAATTTGCAGTGGGATTTACAGAAGGATATTCAAAGAAGATTATTTCTTTCTTGCAGGGCTAGTGGAAAGGAAAATTTCTTCCATTAATTTTCAATCCTTTGAAAATAAGACTATATCATGTTATTAGTGGGTATAGTTTTATAAATCACTGATATTTTTACTTAATTTTATTCAATTTAGTCATATCCAATTGTTCTATTTCATCTCTGTACTGATTGTGTATTTAGAAAGCATCAAGATTAGGTAATTAGTTG